TGCAGCAGCAGCAGCAGCAGCAGCAGCAGCAGCAGCAACAGCAGCACAAGCATATGTACACCAGAAAAGATAAATAAAAATGAAGAGAATTAAATAAACAAACAAAAACAAAAAAAAGAAGGAGACACTAAAGAGAGACAGAAGAAGAGGGCGACAGATAAAAATAAATAAACAGACAGACAGGTAAATAAATAAATAAATAAATAAATAATAAATAAATAAATAAATAAATAAATAAATAATAAATAAATAAATAAATAAATAAAGACGAAGAGAGACAGACAGAGAAAACAAAAAAATAAATAAATATAAGACAGAAGAGACTTAAGGAGACAGACAAACAAAGTAATAGCTAGATAATATAAACATATAAATATAAATAATATATATAAATAATATATACATATATATATAACAATAATAATAAAATAATAATAAAAATAAATAAATAAATAAGTGCAGAAGAATATATATTTAAATGAAAAGAGAGAGAGACTAAGAAGCGAACAAACAAAATATACTTGTATATATACTTATATATATAAATATATATATAATTATATATAATTATATATATATAATTATATATATAAATAATCATATATAATTAAATATAATTATATATATAATTATATATATCTGTCTCACCAGCATAAACAAGTGCAGCAAAGACATCTAAAGAGCCTCCGCATGCAGCAGCAGCAGCAAGTGCTTCTTCTTTTCTACAGCTGTTTAGCAGCGCTTCTTTAACATCTAAATAACTCAGATTTGGGAACGCCGACCAAATTAACCCTGCTGCACCTGCGACATGAGGAGCAGCAAACGACGTCCCGCTTACTGCAGCAAACTCTGCTTCGCCTACTGTCGTCTGGATACCTGTGCAACAGCAGCAGCAGCAGCAGCAGCAACAGCAGCAGCAACACACACACACACACACACACACACACACCAACAAATGCTGCTCCTGTTGCTGCTGTTGATGGTGCTGGTGCTGCTGCTGCTGCTGTTGCGGGTGCTGTTGCTGCTGTTGCTCCTGTTGCTGTTCTTGCTGCAGTTGCTGCTGTATATCGTACTGCATTTGCTGCTGCATTTGCTGCTGCGTTTGCAGCAGCATGTGCTGCAGCAGCATGTGCTGCAGCAGCATTTGCTGCAGCAGCATTTGCTGCAGCAGCATCTGCTGCTGCTGCATTTGCTGCAGCATGTTTACCTGTTCCAGGTGCTAAGATGTGCACAGTGCGGCGCCCGTAGTTTGAAAATGCTGCTCTCTTTCCTTCAGGTGTAACTGCACCTACACTAATTATATTTGATAAGGAATAGCTTGATGGGGTGTGGTCGTTGCTGCAGCAGCAGCAGCAGCAGCAGCAGCAGCAGCAGCAACAGCAACACATGCAGCAGCAGCAGTAGTAGTAATACATGCACAGCAGTAGCAGAAGCAACATATGCAGCAGTAACAACACACACGCAGCAGCAGCAGCAGCAGCAGCACATGAAGGAGCAGCAGCAGCACATGAAGGAGCAGCAGCAGCACCGCATACGGCAGTAGCAGCACCAGCAACATATGCAGCAGCACAAACACATGCAGCAGCAGCAGAAGCAGCAACACAGCAGCAGCAACACAGCAGCACACTTAGAATACGCCGGCGTTAAAAACGTCAAAGACACAAAACCCTAAGAAAGAAAATAAAGAAGATTATATATAATTATATATAATTATATATAATACATACATATATATACATATATATATATATACAGATATATATATACATATATACATATATATATACACATATATCTGTATATAGAAAAAGAAAAGATATTATTAATAACCACAACAACAACAACAATAATAATAAAATAATAATAAAATAATAATAAAAATAAAGTAATAATAATAAAAATAAATAAAAATAATAATAAAAAAATGATGAAGAGATATACTTAGGTAGGTCGGTGTTGAGGTTGTGATTTCCGGCAGAAGAAATAAACAGATGACCGGCGCGCTGTGCTCTTTGAATTGCTTCGAACTCTAAGTCTGCTTTACTAACAAACAGCAGCAGCAGCAGCAGCAGCAGCAGCAGCAGCAGTGCAGCAGCAGTAGTAGGAGTAGTAGGAGTAGTAGGAGTAGTAGGAGTAGTAGGAGTAGGAACAGAAGCAGAAGCAGCAGAAGCAGCGCAGCAACAGCATATGTATAATCAGCAGCAGCAGCACTTCCATCAATCGCATCAGCAGATGCACCAGCAGCAACTACACAAGCAACACAAGCAACAGCCGCAACAGCAGCAGCAGCAACAGCAGCAGAAGCAGCACCACCACTAGCCGCACCAGCAACAGCAGCAGCAGCAGCAACAGCAGCAGCAGCAGCAACAGCAACAGCAGCAGCAACAACAACAACAGCAACAGCAACAGCAGCAGCAGCACCACCACCACACCACCAGCCGCACCAGCCGCAGCAGCAGCAGCAGAAGCAGAAGCAGCAGCAGCAGGAGCAGCAGCAGCAGCAGCAGGAGGAGGAGAAGGAGTTACCCATAGCCTCCATAGGAGTTATTGCTGATCCATGCACCCATCTGAACAGCATAATCGATAGCTTGAATTTGATTAGAGACGGCGCCTTGGCCTTTGTCGATAAACTTCAAGCACATTATTCTGCAGCCCCAGCAGAGACCGACCACCCCCAGCAAATTATTTTCTGCTGCTGCTATTACTCCTGCTGCTCCTGTGCCGTGCCCCGATGATGAGTCCGACTCTGCTATTTCTCCTGTGTTGTTCACGAAGTCCTGAGCAATTCAGTGTACGCATGCACATCAATAACTTTATATATATATATTTAATAAATATATATATATATATATTTAATAAATCTATATATATATAGATTTATTTATTTATATGTATATATATATATTTAATAAATATATATATA